ATTATTACTTTTATTTTGATCAGATCCTATTATTACAAGAACGCAAATGACAAGATTTAAACTCACAACCTTAAAGTCAAAAAATCTCATTTAAAAACAATATTATTACTATATAACACTTTTGAAACTTATTTATTAAACTACAATAATTTTTAAAACAAGTGTATCGCAACGAAGAAGTCCAAATTGTTATAATCACAATAATAATATTATTTGATCACATCATTAACATAACAATAACATTATTTTTTAGAAAATGGGGTTCAATTTTGGGACTTAATGATTATAACCATTAAATTGTTAGTAAATTTCAACATTAAATTATCACTGGATTCCACCACCATTAATCTAATAATTATAATGCATTAAAATTTTAAATTATGTCTTTAAATTAGTAACATGATTATATAGGCGTGTAAAACTGGACTCGGTTTAGTTGGATGGACCAAAAGAGTTTAGGAGGTAATTATGAACGAGCTGGTGACAACTCAGCAGACATTGGGAAAAAATCAAACGTGTTTATCTGTCCTCTCTCCTTCACCAATCACCACTGTGTACGTACACCGACATACACAACCACCGGCCACCCCTCCCTCCGCGGCACGGCTCTCTCACTGGCTGTTTACCAAATTCAATTTGCTTTTAGAAAGGTGTGTGGGTATTCAAACAAACATACAACATTAAAAGAACAGTACATTAAGGTCAATATTTTCTAATAAAGACCGCATTCCAAAGAACAAAATCGTTTTTCACGTACACACAGATTTGCGGAAAGATATTTTTAAAATCATCATTCACTTGAATCAATCAAGTCTGAAAGTTTAAAGTCGGAAACAAATCTTCTATATTTTCATAAGTAAAACTCTCAAATGCTATCTTTACATGTTTGATTACTTAAAATCGATTCAATCGTCATTCCGTCCGAGTATTCTCACGTTCAAGCGTTGTTATTATATATTCATGGTTTGCTTAAGTTCCATTGATGAAATATATCAGTTGAAAGTGACTTTGACATTAATAATTCATGCTAGTAATATTATACTTCAAAGTAACAACGTTTATTATAAAACTCAATTCAGTTTATAATAACTCACAATGATTTATAATATTCTTTTCTTTTTACTATTATTTTGTTTTGTCATGGAATTTCCAAGGGGATATTTTGTTAGAAAATAATATGTTTGCAAAATCCCATGAATAACATCATAATTTATCTCAACTAAATTCAAATATTATAATGATTGCAACATTGAAAACCGACACCCTAATTGAAGAAGAGATTAAAGTTTCATTTCTACCTTCAGAACTTTTTTTCTTTGCATCCATTGAATTTAAGCATGGTAAGTGACCTAATATACCTAGTAGTGAGCTTAGATCGGTTTACAATTAGGCTAAAATTGAATGTAGAAATTATTGTTGGAATCCATAGAATCACTCTTGTTTTGATCTTTGAAAAAAGTTTTTAAACTTCAATTTTTTTTCTTATAAATACAACTATAAGAGTCATGGTATAGGCCTTGTTGACTAAAACTCATTGGTACTCAAAAGTTGGATGTGAAATTAGGTTTTGGATGTGAAATTAGGTTTTGGTCGAAAAATCTTAAGGTATTGCCCTCTAAGTGCCCTCTTAGCATTCAAGTGATCCTTGAAATTAAGAAAAGTAGAATTATGTACCTAAAACCATCGGTCAATCAATGCTCTCAACGCTCGAGCAATCATGAGGGTGGGTTGACCTTACAGAGTTTCGATTCTAAAGACCAATCTCGTTTACGGCGAGTGATTTATCGAAATTCTCTAAATTTTAGTTTTCTATGTAGATTCTAATTTCATTCTTATATATGGTATGTTTTTGTTCATTCAAAAGAGTTACAAATCAAAGATTTTTAGAGAGAGAATATTAAAGAGGAAAAACTCTAGCCCACTAAACACAAAGACATATGACTACTTGGTTAGATCTAGAGTTTGCTCATAGATTAGTCATGAAATCGAGAGTTTTCCACAAAAACATTTTGTTTTGATAGATTCCAATTGAAGTTCAAGGAGAAGGATTATTTGAACAAGTGCAAGAAGGATCGTGGATTTGACTCATGGAGAGCAATCATAAAGTGTTCAAGAGCTTTGCGATTTGCTTTTAATTACAGATTCAAATATGACTATAGAATTAAATACGACGACCAACTTGATCAAATTCTAATTAATGTTTTTAAAATGAATTTAAGTCAAATCGAAATTCAATTCAATTCATTAACAAGCATATTTCTAACTGTTCGCTGTTGCGATATATTTTGCTGACTATGATCGAATAAATGTTCTTCAACATAATAGTTGTCCCCACCCTCGAGAAATTCTTCTCTGACCTAATAACACAGTAGTATTCAGTGCTAATGAGTGTTGGAGATGAAATAAAGAAAGGTTGGGTCCCGTAAACCATAAGCCTTTCTCTACCACTTCTTTTTTTGACAAAAACTAATCTATGGGAAATGTCATGGCCTCTATTTGACGAAACATGTATTGAAAAGATGCATATATAGAAAGGAAAATGTTTGTGTGGACTTGAAAAGATGGTTCAGCAGAAAAAAAAGTATCACACTTCATCCTAATCGAGTATGGGACAGGAAAAATTTAACAAGACCCAACAAGAAACGTGGATACAAAATAAACCTTTCGGTGTAACTGCACCAAGAATGGCTCAAACTAATTTAAGGTCGAAAGTAGAAACATTAGATTGAGATTTTTTATTTTTAGAATTATTTTTTAAAATTAATTTATTTTTAATTTTTTATGTGAGAGGTAGACAAAATAAAGATGTGTTAATGTTGTTGAGAAAAAAGATTTCAACTTTTATTTTTATTTTTTTACCACACAGAGAGAGAGAAAAAGTATTTAATTTGAACTTTTGTTTTATCAGAGAGAGAGAGAGTGTGTGGTAAGAGCAAATATTTCTAAGTTTTAATTTTATGTATTAGATTATATGCCCAAATTATTGCAATAAAAATTTTAATTAAATTTAATTTTTTTTATGGGCTAATGATTTATCTAAAATTATAAGATCTTCTAAAAATTTGAGACTTAAAACCCATAGTGTTTTTTCCAAACTGTTAGGCCGGCCTTGAATTGCACACCGGTTAAACACAAAATGGGGTCTAAAGTAAAAGTTTACGTGGCGGCTTATTAATTTTAATAAAAATTTTAAATTATTATATAACATTTTTTATATTATTTTTTTTTAAGATTGAAACGCATGTATATTAGATTTTTGTATCCAAGCATTGTTAACATGTTTTTAAGATTCTTAAATTGAAGCGATATTAATTTCTTTGTCTTCCAATTCTTAGAAGCCCTAAAAAAATCAATTTGGGTTTGATTGAATATTATTATACAAATTGTATTTGAGACATTAAAAATAAATTTAGGCTTAATTGAATTGAATCTCAAATTCTTCTGGGGGACCCTAAAAATAAAAGTGGACTTATTTGTACATGAATTTTAAAAATTTTATTTAGGGTACTAAATATAAAATTAGATTTAATTAAATATTTTTCTAAAAATTTTATTTGAAATTCTAAAAATAACATTAATTTTTTTTAAACTCCTTGAAAAGGGCCCTAAAAATTCGGGGCCTAAAGTGGCGGCTTCAATGACTATGTCAGTGAGCCAGCCCCGAGTGTAAGTTTGAATGAGGCTCATTCTTTGAGATCTTAAATTCAATTAATTTCCCCAGGGAGCGCAAATCGATTGCATCTGAAGTTTATGTTATGACTATAAATTCATAAAACGCGTCATTGAGACGATTTTTTACTCTAAAAAATAAAATAAAAAATCAAATAGAAGAAATAAAGTAATGCTTGCTTCAAGATCTTAGGTTAGTCTCAATAAATGTTAGATTACAAACTTGTGTTCAATACATTCCAATTGAAGTGGCATTGTTTGTGTTGAGGCTATGGGAACATTTTTTTGGGAAAAATTTCAACCACACCTCCTCTAGTTTACTATATCTTCAAAGACACCTTCTCTATTTTCTTAATCTTCAGTGAAACCCTGATCAGATTAAAAATATTAACTAAAATATAATTTTACTAAATTGCCCATGATATATTTGAAGACAAATTTCATCTACACCCCCTTTAGATAAGCATATCTTGAATTATTAACACATGGTCATTGAATTCTATTATTGTGAGCCTTTAGAACTGGTCTATATATAACTAAGTGTTGTATAATGTAGTTGAACGAAGCTGCTTGTCGATTTGGACTATGTTGGACTGCTTGTGTATTAATTAATAATGGCTACTGTTATTTCTTATATTGGACTGTGTTGGGTTTTGTTATCTGCCAAGTCACCAAGCAACAAGGTCTTTCACTTTCATGTTTTAGTGGTTAAACAATCCAGAAGTCTTTTAAGTATACCCGCATGTTTCGAACTGTTCAACAGTGGTCACCACTATAGCTTGAAACCTCCTTTTAATTCTTGAATGTAGAAAATGAGTGAAAGAAACAAGGAGAACCGAGCAAAACAGGACATGAGTCATATTGCAGGGACGAAGAGTTTCGCTTGAATTAGCTACAATAGTGTGAGTTGTTTTTTAAATGTATATTTCACTTATGTGATTAATTATAGACATGTATACATGCATATTTATGTAATNAGTTTCGCTTGAATTAGCTACAATAGTGTGAGTTGTTTTTTAAATGTATATTTCACTTCTGTGATTAATTATAGACATGTATACATGCATATTTATGTAAATTTTTTCTATTAATGTTTAGTGCATGATATCGTGATCCCGAGACTGGAGATTAGCCTAATCGTACGGAACTGTGGTTAAGAACCAAGTTCAGTATAAAGAGGAATGCTTGGATTGACAGGAGATCAGGAGAAGTCTATGTAAGTTATCATATCCTTCTCCATTTCCTTGAAATATCTTCTTACATAATGCTAAATTGATATATTGTAATCTTTCCAAATGTAGAGCGACCTTAAGAGGCTAGAGGCTCAATCAATGGAGGAAGAAGCTACCCCCATCACTGAGGATCAAAGGTTTGAAGCAATGCTCGGTCTGAAAAAATCTGGATATATACGTGGTCTAGGGGCTGGTCCAAAGCCCACAACATCTACAGATGGACAACGCATTCGTGCACAACTAGAGAAGGAGAATGAGGAATTGAAGAGGCAAGATGAAACAAATAGGATGCGTTGGGAATCGTTGGAGAGGGAAAACAGTGAATTGACTTTGCGACTAGAGTCCTTAGCGTCCAATATGCATGTTGAGATACAAACACAAGTGCATGTCGTGCTTCAAACTCAGCTCACCACATTTTTTCGGCATATGAAAGAGTCGGGGCAAATTTTTATCTCTCTTCATTGTGATAGGGTAAGATCTCTTAAATTGGAAAAGTTCTATTTCATGGGTTAGTAATCTTACTTTTATGGGTTAAATGCTTCATTTACAGTGCTGATCATATTATTGGTATTGTTTCTGTTTTCGGTTTGATTTATGAAAAATTGAAAATAGAATTCAAGAACTAGTAGAGTCAATCTTTGATGCCTATTTGCATTTGTCTATGATCAAGCAGACTTGTATGCTATGAAGCACGGATACTTCGTCACGATCGATGTACCCGTATCGGATACGATACTCGTCAGATATTCGATGATACGTATCGGATACGTATCATCCGTATCCAATAATTAATACAATATGTGGATATTTCCCGGATACTTCTAAACATGAAGCAAGATGTACAATTTTCAATTTTAAACTATACCCCCTTTCTTTGGAGTTCACATATAATATAAAACATCAACAAAATTTCATCTGATTTTGAAGCCACGTGTGTTTTTAAAGTATTATTTATTATTATATGTTAAGAGAGTATAAAAAAAATGAGTCACTTACACTATAATCTTAAAAATAAATACTTGTAAACACACCAACTAGTTAAATGTGGTTATGATTCTTTCAACTGATTATGCTCATTTTGTGATTATATCATAATAAGATGATATTACATCTTTTTCAAGGTAAAAATTTCACAATTTTGTTTACTAATGTTAAAGAATTATTAAAAATTGTAATTTCTACATTGTTAAATAATAGTAAAATATAAAATATATTTTATTATAGACGTATCCTGACCGTACCCATATATTTTTTATAAAGTTTCGTATCGCCGTATCCGTATCATATCGTTTTGTATCGTATCGTACCCGTGTCACGTATCCGTACTTCCTAGCTTGTATGTTTCTTTGCATTTGTACATTTTACTTACTCAAGTAGACTGATATGCTCACAATCTCATAGGGCTCTCTGCCTCTGTCACTGGAACAGCCTGGTATATTAGAATTTCTACTGGCTGGTATAATATCTTTATATTGAACAAACTAGTTATGTAGTCTTGATATATATTTGAATAATCTCCTATATGTCTTCTCTTGATTTCTTCAATGAATTTCTATTAATGTTGGGTAATTTATGTTAGGTACAAACCAGTGGAAGCTTTGAAAACAGNCTTCCTAGCTTGTATGCTTCTTTGCATTTGTACATTTTACTTACTAAAGTAGACTGATATGCTCACAATCTCATAGGGCTTTTTGCCTCTGTCACTGGAACAGCCTGATATATTAGAATTTCTACTGGCTGGTATAATATCTTTATATTGAGCAAACTAGTTATGTAGTCTTGATATATATTTGAATAATCTCCTATATGTCTTCTCTTGATTTCTTCAATGAATTTCTATTAATGTTGGGTAATTTATGTTAGGTACAAACCAGTGGAAGCTTTGAAAACAGCTTTGGAAGGCTCGCCTCTGATGACTAAAGACGAAAGATATAATAACATGCCAAAAAACGAATATGTAGTTGANTTGAAAACAACTTTGGAAGGCTCGCCTCTGATGACTAAAGACGAAAGATATAATAACATGCCAAAAAACGAATATGTAGTTGAGACTTGATTGTTATGCAATTACTTTCTTTTGAGTGGGTATCATTGCCTAATTGTTAAGACACAATTTGAAAATATGATTATAACATTTTTTGTCCATTCCTATTCTTTGATGATGACGCCTTGTACATGTACAATTTAACGATGCTAATATCAGAATATTATTTTCACGTGATTTGATTTAAGAATTATATATTTGAAAGTGAGAGTTTATAATGTTATTTTTTTTTCATTAGGTATATATATTGATTCATTAAACTATAATAGGTATGTGAAATTTGAAAATATTGAAAAATAAATTCTTTCAAATATGTGATAAGTTTCTTTGTTCATTTTAATGTATTAATTAGTAATGACAATGAGTAGTCAAAAAAATCATGTTTCAAATTTTAGTGGTGATTTTAATTGTGGGTAAAATGTATACTTTTAGTCACAATTAAATGTTGTCATTAAAATTCAGATTTTAATCGGACTTTTAGTGGTGATATAGTATATTTTAGTGGAAAATTACGTTAACTTGCTACAATAATTATGATGCCTAAAATTTTTACAATTAGTAACATTTTTTCATGATGTGGCTAAAAAATTTACTTTTAGTGGCAACAATGAAATGTTATAGCTAAATGATTTAGCCACACACATATTCTTGTAGCTTAGTGGTAATTAAAAAGTTGTCACTAAAGTGTATAGTGACAATTTTTATAAATTTAGCCGCAATAATTTCCGCTGCTAAAAGACCAATTTCTTGTAGTGTTTATAGAGTAAATAATAATAGAAACAACACAGAGAAAATTATAAAAAAAAAAAAAAAGATAACAATATGAGAGAGAAAGAGAGAGAGTATAAGATAGATAGATAGAGTTATATGGGAGATGCGAGTTTTAGAGTGGTAAACGGAATGAAAGTCCAATTTGGACCATTAGATTAAAACAATCTGAGCTGCGAAAAGCTCCAGACAAATAATTTAACTACTTTATTATATAGATATACTATGTATAATTCGTGCCTGAAGGTACGATGTAATATGAATGATTTTGAGAGAGATATTAGAGGTTATTGAATGAGTTTATTTGAGACCGTCAGATAGGCTTGTTGAAGCCTGCTCTGTTTTATATTATAAATATGTATTAGAATTAACGGTGAATGCATGTGCATCCACACTTGTCCAACTTAAGAGAGTCTTGTCTATGGGAGAAACCGGTGGTGGGTATTGTAGTAGAGTCTCCATTTTTGCATGTGTTTTGCTCCTGGTTTTGGAAGAGAATTGAAGTGGTTAAAAGAGTTCTTCAACTTCCATTAAAGAACCTTGAGAGTTGATGACGGTGGATGCTCAATTAAGGTAAGGATCATCTTCTCTTCTTCTACAATTCTCAAATGAATCAACTAGAATCAAGTGTATGGGTGATCTTGGGTAGGGTTGGAGGTCGAGAACATTAAGTTTGGGAAACTTTTGTGGATAATCTCTTTATCTCTTAAATCCAAGTGTTTTCAATTATAGATATTAGGGAATGGGTGGCATAATGTTTATAAAGGGTTGGGTGTAGAAGTCAAAGGTGGTGGTAGGTGTTTAGACAAGCTTCATAATCTTGGTTGGGGAAGAACCGGTAGAGCACATGGTTGTACATGTACAAAAGTATTCTGCATTAGGTGGAACCGGTACCATTTGTATTGGTACAACAAGGCAAAATTTTTGTTTTGCTAAAACTTCTTAATCTCTCGTCCATTCAATCTTTAAATGCTCCAAAGCACCATTGGACTATAGAACAACCCTAAATGGGCTAGGTTACATAAGTGATAAGCCTAAACAAGCAAGAGGAGTAAAAGGATTAATGTGGTGTAAACCCAAACATGGGGAAATATTTGTTTAGAAGCATCTGACATATTTTGGTTACATGAAATATAATAAAATGTGTTTGTGACCATTATGTACTAGGATATGAGGAATCTACATCGTCAACCACTCCACTTAAAACTGGAGACCGCATTTGAGGTAGAAGTCAAACCAAGGTGAGTGCATTACCTCACATATCTAGCTTGTCTAGTAAGCTTACTTGTTATCAAACTATTACTGCATGAGGAAGTGTTGGAGAAAAAGAGGAAACATTGTCTCTGTGACGGATTATGCTTGTATGTCGATTATTTTTTGTGCGACAGATTATGCTTGTGTGGCGACTATGGTCTATGTGATGGATTATGCTTGTGTGACGATTATTGTCAGTGTCACAAGAAAGTGCTTAAGTAACTAATAAGATTGAATGGCGAGTTACGCCTGTATGGAGGATACTATCTGTGTGATGAGATACACCTTATGGCAAAGATGGTTTTGTCGATAGTGTTAACCTATGTATGTTTATGTTAGTGGCTCAAGTGAGGTGTTTATTTGGTGGTTACATTTTTATGGAGTTAATTGATATTCAAGTTAGTGGAATGGTATTTCATGATTTTAAACGTGCATGTTCTTTCTTTGTTAATTGATATCCAAGCCTGTTTCATCTCCAACGTCTTCCTCCCAACAATTGTCTTTGTTTGATAGTGCTCCATATTCTGATCCTTTCTTATATCGTAGTCTAGTGGGTGCTTTGTAATATTTATCCTTGACTTTTCCTGACATATCCTTTTCGATCAACAAATTTTGCCAATTCATGCACAAGCCCACAGATGCTCACTAGACTAAAGCGTATTTTACGCTATTTGAAATATTCCATTAACTGTGGTCTCCTAATTCGGCCCAACACATCAACTTAAAAACAATGTAAAATAATGCAATCATAAGATAGCTTCATGCCAAGCATCAGATTCAGGACAACCTTAGTTCCAAACAAACAGATGAATCATGGACCACTGAGCAGCAGATGAAGCTGCCATAATCAAAACTTCACTGGGCTCGAAGGAATAACCATGAATGCAATCCTTTGACCTCCAGTTTGAATTCACATCAAACTCTAACAATGTTCAAACCCTATTCTCATTTTTGTTCCTCTCTGCACTATTTCACCTCCATTTTCATTATCTTATAGTCACCCACTATTTCTGGTAGGTTTTTTTTTTTTTTTTATGTTCTTCATTCCTCCTTCTCCATAAGCTATATTCCTCTGGCCTTAACCAGAGTGTCCATAAATTTCCTAAGATACAACGTCACATCACTTGAATCAAAAGGGTTGTTCTCAGCATCTCCAGCCTTCTTTTCAAAGGCGACAACAAGACGGCCGACAAGTGCTTCAAGGCTACCCCGAGACTGTTTAAAAGGGCACGAACGTGGTGCTAGTGGATGGAGATGGCCAAAGAAGGGACATGTATTGGTCTGGACTTTGGTTTTTCGGAACTGGTCCATGTTGTTGGACCAAAACAGTTTCTTAAGTGTAAAAAACTAAATTTTTGGTCGACTTTGAGCTTAAATTAAAGTGGGACCTGTTTGTTATTTCGAGTAAACTTTTGTGGGTTCGTATTCTACTCTGTAAGGAGAATAATGTAGTATATTTACTTGCTCAAATCGAATAAGAAATGAATGAGAAAATAAACTTCAAAGTGACATTCTTGAAATGTGAAAATAGAGGTTATGCAATGTAAAATTTGACATCAATCCTACATTGGTTAAAGAAAAAATTCTACATGAGTATACATAGGCCAAATTTGCTCTATGAGATTGTATCCCAAGAGGTACCACAAGTTTATGAGCGGAGCGAATGCCTACATGCCTTCAGTTCNTGTTAGCGAGAGAATGGTGAAAAAAGGGGGAAAGAGAAAAAAAAAATTGGCATTTGTTTAGCAGGAAACAAAGGTTTTTGAGGAAAAACAATTTTCGCGCATGATCAGATTTTTCCGTATTTGATGCTTTCTGTTTTCCCAGAAAATCCACATGAAAGTTTTTTTTTCCTGTGAAACTTGCTTATCTGTTTCATTGTTTACCACTCTTCCCCTATTTTAGCACACCACAACTCCCCTCAGTACTCATCTTTTCAGCCAACTCATCATGGAAGTTTGCCACTCAGTACTCATCNCCCACGCCACGAGCTGACCCGACCTAGCCAGGCTTGGACTCGAGCTCGGGTATGGGTGGACGAAGCCCTATCTTTTTGAAGAAAATTTGTTTAATTAATTGGGCAAGAATTTCTTAACCCGAAATTTGACTTTTGGTATTCGTTGGATTTGAATTCGTACTAATTCCGATTTGTTGCTTCCCTTCAGTCCAAAATTGAGTTGTGTTTGTTCATAAAGAATAGTTACACAAAGTGGTGCCTTCTGAAAGTCACCAAAACGTCTATAAATACTCAGGCTCTCATTACCATTCTACATTTATTTATCAGTCCATGTTCAAAGTTAAGCCAGACATTAGTGCATTGTATTTCGGCATTAAGCAAATTGCGTTTAGAGAGTACACAACACAATTTTTGGTTCGCTGGACGAGTAGATTAAAGTGTTACTTCTACTTGTGTAAAGATCATTGCATCATCTGAGGCAGACGCTTGATATTCTATAAGTACTGTGTGGGGGGCCAAAATCTGTCTTAAGGACATAGTGTCAAACACTAGTCTTGATCGATATCAAGTTCAATAACAGTTCCTGTTCTATAATCAGGTTAGTATTTATATTGATTTGACAAACAGTTACGTGGTAAGGCTGTTGTTACTGTTTTGTTAAGACTATAGTAACTATTTCAATATTTTGTGTAACTGTTTCGCATTTGATTGTTACTGTTTTGTTATAAATTACATGTTTCAAATAAGTGATTTTACAATATTTGAAATACCATAAACAACACATGTACTAGAGGAATTCAAGTATGTGAGCCCCACTGCACCGTGAGAGAGAAATAGTGGGGGGCGGTGGTTGTTTAGATATTGTCGGAAGGTTTTCCAGTCCTAGCGCTTTTGGTCCTCGTATAAGTGTTGGTGATAGTAGAAGTGATGGTTCTTGGCAGTGGATGGTATTTGAGGATAATGGGCTACTATTGTTTTTGGAGTTGCATCGGTGGCTAATGGAGGTTACCGCTACAGCCTTGGAGGCCATTGCAGTTAAAATGTTAAGGATTTCCTTGAGTTTTTTTTTTGTTAGCGAGAGAATGGTGAAAAAAGGGGGAAAGAGAAAAAAAAAATTGGCATTTGTTTAGCAGGAAACAAAGGTTTTTGAGGAAAAACAATTTTCGCGCATGATCAGATTTTTCCGTATTTGATGCTTTCTGTTTTCCCAGAAAATCCACATGAAAGTTTTTTTTTCCTGTGAAACTTGCTTATCTGTTTCATTGTTTACCACTCTTCCCCTATTTTAGCACACCACAACTCCCCTCAGTACTCATCTTTTCAGCCAACTCATCATGGAAGTTTGCCACTCAGTACTCATCTTTTTAGCCAACTACCTCTTCCATCTTTGCACATCTTCTCAGCCAAATTTTTTTTTTTTTTTGTATCATACTCAACCAATTGATAAGTAAGTTTTCTTCCATCTTCAATTGCTCTATGTACTAGAATTGCTACATATTGTAAGTTACGAAACCCATAAATTTGTACTAGGAAAAGAAAAAAAAAACTCAGTAATTTGTATTAGTCTATATACTTCGGAGTGTTAATTTTTTGGATCTTCAATTTGTATTAGTATTGTGTACTTATTGTATTTTTTCTATGGCAACACCATTTTTTTCTTTTTTCTCTCTATTTTTCTTTGTTGATTGTTGGGTTAAATGTTTTATTTGATTATGATTCAACGTTCATGTAGATGAGGTAGAGCATGCTATTGATGAATGTCTCAACTAGCATGTTTGTGTACATGTGCATATTACTGCCCTTCAACTTTGATATTGTGTTTTGATGCTTGTTAGTTTCAGCTTTTACCATTGAACCATGGTCCATGACCAACTTATGTTTGATTATATCCTGTCATTTTTATTTACCTTTATATTTATTACGATTATGTTATTAACTTGTTAACCTTGCCAGCATATGAAAGTCAAAAAGGGGAAATTATTTACCTCTAACATTAGAAAATATTTTTCTTTTTGGACTAAGAAGAATTTCGACTTCTGCCTCAAATTGTTTGGTATCTGTGGAATTTGGTTCTTAAACATTGATAACTTCATTCCAGACCTGAAACTTAAAAAAGAGTACTCAAGCTAAAGGAACTTGGAGTTGGACCCACTTATAGGTTATATACTTAATCCCAAATATATGTTATACCCATATATAGGTTCTAGATATATATTGAAAATTAAATTTTTTTTAGTTTCAAAAGTTGACCCATTATAATATAATGCATCACAAATTATAAACTTCAGTCAATGATCTTTTACATATAAACTTCAATCATGATCAACAAGGGTAGATCATAAAAACTTCACTCATGATCATATGGACAATTACACCAAATGTGGATATCATATTTAAATAAAATGGTGTAAAGTTTATTGTGCTTTTCTTCTTCTTCTTTTTTTTAATTGGATTTTGCTTTTTCATTTATATGCCTATATTTTTCATCTGCGTTTTTAATGACATGTTCTTAATTGTGATGTTCTTAATATTTGATCTTGAAGATGGATAACAATGATGATGATGATGAAGAGATTATTCTTTTTTATGCACAATTTGTTGGTGTCATGATTGTTATGTTTGGTGTTTATTACTTGGAACAATATGATGAGAAGACACAACGCAATTGTTATCTGACACAACGCCAATTTGTCTGGGACATGATACAAAGTGATGAACATTGTCATAATCTATTAAGAATGAATGTGGAGGCTTTCCAAAGATTTGTATACATACTAAAAGGGACTGGAAGACTAAAGGATACCATGCACTGTAGTGTTGAAGAGCAATTAACAATGTTTCTGTATATAATATCGCAAAATCTCAAGAATCGAAGTGCAAAATGCCACTTTAAGAGGTTTGGTGAAACTATATTGCGATACTTCCACATAGTCTTAAATACTATAATAGGCATGGAAGATGACTTTTTAAAGCAACCTACTTCTCAAATGGCGACACCTACAGAGATATGCAAAAATCATAAAATGTGGTCATATTTTAAGGTAAAATATTCTAAAAATAACACTTTTTAATATATTTACAGTATTGTTTTCACGAATTTATCATTTGTTTATTGATGCAATTGGTGGTACACATCTTCCTGTGAAAGTTTCAGCCGAATATGTTGCATGCTTTTGTGGTAGAAAACAATGGCCTTCCTAAAATGTATTAGCTGCTTGTACGCTAGATTTAAGATTTACCTATGTCTTAGCCGATTGGGAATGCTTAGCATCTGATTCTCGAATATTAGGTTGTGCTATTAGTCGGGAGCATGGGATTACATGTCCTCCGGGTAATTATGTGCTTCAGCAATACAGATAAATTCTTTTGAAATGGATTAAAACAACTTTAATAAGTTCTATTAATGTTTGTGTAGGCAAATTCTATCTTGTAGATGCGTAATTTCCATTGCTAAAGCATTACATTACCCCATTCTGAAGTACTAGATACCATTTAAATGAAATAAGAGGGTGTGTACCAACCACAACAAAAGAGTTGCTTAATCGTAGACATTCGTCTTTACGAAATGCAATTGAGAGAGTCTTTGAAGTATTAAAAAAATGATTTCAAATCTTAGTGGATGAACCAATGTTTAAGCATACAATTCAGACAAAGATAGTAATTGCCTATTGCATTGTGCACAATTATATTTGAGTAGTGATGCCAGATGATCCACTTTTAGCCGATGTTGATCGAGATATGCAAAATCAACCATCCACAACCCATGATGATGTTGACACACAATTAACAAGGGCTCAAGATGGAAGGGAAGGAAAAATGATTCAACCGTAAGTTATGAATGAGATGTGGAATGATTTTTGTAATAAATGGTAGTTGGATGCTTGCTCATAATGTACTTTGATGTTTTTAGATACATGAAAATGGTATTCTATGTCTCTTTATTAGGGTAGTGGTAAAATAAAATACTATATTATTTTTGATATGGTTTGCCTTTCATTTATGCATGTTGTTTATTTTATAATGATTACGTTTCTTATTTCAATTGTTATTATATACAATTTTGAGCTTTTTAGGAATGAAGCAAGATGAGCCTCAATCCCTCGTGTGGGAAGAAAGAAGGGAAAAATGTAGTGTTGTTTAAGGAGATGGATTGATGTCTCATGTTGGAACTGGTGCATCAAGCTAATGAAGGTTATAAAGTAGATTATGGTTTTAAAGATCAAGCTTATACTGCAACTTTGTCAGCTATAAATGCTAGTTTTAACCTTTCACTTAGTTGAGAGAATTGTGTTAATTGATTAAAAACTATCAAGAAAAAGTTTAGATTTATACAGGATATGTTGAGCAAAAGTGGATTTGCTTGGACTCCTGTGGCAAAAATGGTTGAGTGTAGTGATCAAGTCTGGACTACATATGTTGCTGTAAGTGTCATTTTAAATAATAATGACTTCTAAATGTTACATTTTGCATTGAAAAAAAATATGAAAGTAATTTATTGAAATATGCTTAACTATTATGTTTGATACATTTTTGTAGGCAAATTAATAATTTGGTTCTATGGTTCAAAGACGTGTGCTCCTTCTTTTATCCATTAGAATAAACAGATATACTCCCTCTTAGCAAACTATCTAGAGTATATAGCGTGAATGTTACATTCTATTAATTTTATGGATCTAATAATTGGCATTGGGCTATATGGGGAACTCAAATTGTGCCTTGCAATGTCAATCAAAAATTAGACCAATTCAGCGAACTCGTATCTCTTTTTTTTATTTTCTAGGGTGATATACATCTATTTTTTTTTTACAAACGTGGTGTTATAAGCTTGGTGAGCTGAATTTTAGCTTGAAAAAAAATAAAGGATGATAAATTAATTTGCAATGCAAAATAATATATGTGAAAGCAACGGAGAGAAAAATTATTTTCAATTTCATGTTCTGTAGCCATATGGGTAAAGCCACTTTTGAATAATTATACACAAGGGGAATTCCGACAATTCAATAAAATTTCTTCTAACTTTCTTGCTTTCCAAACTACAGAATGAAATTTTCTTAAAATTATCTTACAAAATTTTCATCATAATCAAACATATGCAAAAAAATATATTTTTTTTCACTTTCTTTTCTTCCACTTTACTTTCTATCATTTTTTTCTTTCTAACCAAACGGACCCTAAGGGTTTGTTATTCTTTAGTTTAGGGGGATTTTTCTGAGCTATTTTGGGTGAAAATCCACAATTCAACCGATCAAAACTCTTAGGGTCCGTTTGTTTAACAAGAAAATGTTAGAAAATATAAGAAAAAGAAAATTTTAAAATTTTACATGCGTTTGTTTAGCATGAAATAGAAAATGATAGAAAAAATAATTTTCTCTCATGTTTGAATTTTTTCACATTTAACTAACTTTTTTTGCTTGCAAAAAGTAAGAAATGTCATATTGAATAACTTAACTTTTCATTTTACCTTTATTTTTCTTAAAATATTCAATTAGTTATTAATTTTAAAAAAATGTGTACAAATTAGGCTAATCATATAATTTGGTCTAAAAATTAAGGTTCGGATTGATTTTTTTTCCTGAATTAGGTTAGGAGCCAATTTTTTAAAAATTTGAATAATAAAAAATATGTTTTTTTTCTTTAGAAACAATTAGAAAAATTTTCTTATAACTTTCTTTTTTTCAAAAAATAGAATGAAATTGTTTTAAAATTTTCTTAGAAGTTTTTCATGCTAACCAAATACATGTATGAAAATATATATTTTTTTATTTTCTTTTTTTTCACTTCACTTTCTACCTTTTTCACTTTCCGTCATATTTTTCTTGCTAACCAAACGAACCCTCGTATGATACAAACAGTTGTGGTAAAGGGATTAGATGAAGGGTGCTTCTACTTTAAATAAAACGGGCAAAGTATGGATTTCTCGGACGGAAAAAAGAAATATTTTCTTCAGAGAGAGAGAGGTCCAAGAATAATACGGAACGACCAACTCATTTGATAAAAATTTGTTTTGATACTTAAAACATTTTCCATTTATGAATGAGCTGGTGACAACTCAGCTGACATGGGGAAAAAGTCAAATGTGTTTTATCTGTCCTCCCACACTGTGCACATACACCGACATACACAAACACCGTTCCACCGCACGGCTCCCTAGCTCTTTACCAAATTCATACGGTTTGACAAAGTATTTCAAAAATAGAATTTTTTTGAATTTCTTTTTTTCCAAATTTAAGACATTTTTTAAAAACATTAACCCAATTAAAAATGTCAGGCAATAGTTGTATTATTATTTAAAATCCTAATGCCAAATAAGGACTATGTTTATATACAATGAAACATACAACATTAAAATATCATTGCATTAAGGTCAATATTTTCTAATAAAGAC